GCCCCCCCCCCCCCAGCGCCAGCTGCGCAGAGGGTCAGGGGCCACCCCCCCACCCAGGCCCCTCCCCTCAATCCGAAAACACTGCAACTTTACCATCATCTAAAGTATTTGTTTAATAACAACAGAAGAAAAAAAAACCCACAGAACTATTGTAGAACAATACTCTCAGTCGGTGATCATTGTAATATACAATACAAAGCAATAATTTCCTCAGAAATCTGAGAAGCACCAAACGTGACCATTTTTTAAAATGTCTGCTTTTCAAAAAATAGAAACACACGGGGGGGAAACTCCCCCAAGTCTCTGGTGGCTGATAGGTGTGGAGGGAAGGTCGGCCTGTCCCGTCAGTCCCCCAGCCCTGGGCTGGATCCACAGGCGCCCAAAGGCCGCTGATCTGTCTTGTTCCTCCCCAGCCGCGGCAGGCGCTCGGGAGGCCCAGAGAGCGCTCGTTCCTCTCGCCCCTGGAGGGCTGGGGTCGGCGGGGTCTGGAGCACGCGCTTCAGCGACACAAGATGCGGTCGTCCGCCGGGACACACGCCGCCTGTGAAACGGAGAGAGAAGAGGTGAGACGGGCGGGCGGGCTGGAGGGGACGAGGCTGCAAGCCGCCCCCTCCCCAGCAGACACGAGAAGGAGCGCTTCTTGCCATGCCCTTGGGAACCCCGACACAGCCAGGGACCCCCCAAGGATAGGGTCGGCGGAGGGTCCGGTCCCCCCTCCCTCGCAGGGACTCAGTTTCCCCATCTGTAGGAAGAGAACGATCTGCTGTTCCAACTCGGACCTCACCTCGGCAGCCAGGGCGCTGATCTCGCCGTTGAGGGTGCTGAGCGGAGCCCGAGCGGGCAGCCCCCGGGCCCCGGCGGTCCCGACTTGAGATTCCGAGTTCAGTTCTAACTCCAGGTCCCAGATGTAGTCGATGACGTGCTGGAGGATCTCCACCCTGCTCACCTTGCGGTTCTGGGGCAGGGTGGGCACCAGCTCCTTGAGGCGCGAGTAGCAGCCGTTCATGTCGTACAG